GAACTAATTCTTACGTGGTTTTAGGCGGCATTTCATATAGTCGTTGGAAAGACAAACTAGAAACTACAAGCGTTTAGATTTAAGCCAGGGAGTCTGGCAGAATGCAGAAATGCCACCACGTTTAACTGCTCACTGTTTTCAGGGTGAGTGGTACTACTGCATTTTCGTGGTGGCGTGAAATTCGCTCCCCTTCCCTGTTTTTTTCAGGGTGGTCAAACCTAGTGTGTTTGTGGCCGCGGGGTTTTGCCGCCTCTAGAAACTGACCGGCAGCATCTTCAGCAGTTTTAGGGGGCGCCCAGGTCTGGGACAGAGGTGGGGCTGAGGAAGAAGCAGGTGTAGGTGTGTGGCCTCAGGGCAGCCTTGGCGTGGGGCCCGGATTGGGAGCGGCGCGGTGGGCGGCGTGGGGGCCCTGCGGGCTCCTTACCTTGCCCGGGACCCCGCGGTGGTCAGTGCTGCCTTGCCAGAAGCGCCTGCTGTAGTCTGTGATGTACCCAACCAGCTTGTCCTGGTAGGGGAAGTCCACCTTCCAGATCAGGGAACCGTAACCAAACACCCACATCTTGCCGGAGCCTCTGGGTCCCGCGGCGGCAACCCCTCTGCTGGGGTCTCCCTGCGCCGCCGGGACTGCAGCCTCCCCGACGTACTTAACCGGCTGCTCGGGGCGCAGGCGCGATGACTGCGCCGCTGCTCGGGGCGCAAAGCACACTGGGGTTGTAGTCCAGGAACGTTTCCCACGCCCTTTGAGTCAGCATTGCTTCATTTCCTTGTTGGAAAGGATCGTTGACCTTCTGTGTACCAACTAGCTGATTTTTCTGCAGCTTCGGTAAATCGGTAAACTTCCTCTAGTGTGCTCGTGCCGAGGACTACAATTCCCACAATCCTTTTCGGAGGGCCGGGACTCCCAAGTTGAAACTTTTACTCGCCCCCTCCCCCTCCCCCCGGCTAACGGGAGGGGTGGGGAGGGTGAGCCCCGGAGGCTTGGCCAGTGCAGTGTAGGTAGGTCACACTTGGCACCACACTTGGCGAGTAGAAAGACATTTTGTGTTTTGAAAATTGTATACCCGCGTATGTAACAGCATCCAAAGGAGCCGAAGCTGGAATTAATGTAATCCATATGGTTCAAAATCAGTCGTTTGCCTTTCAGATAAAACAAAATTGACAAAGTCTTACAAAAAAGCAACTGTTATGCCAACGTAAATTGTTTACACAGTTAAAGTTTATTCTAAGAAGAACCGTGTATATTTTAGTGCCCTCAGTAGCTTACTTAGAAAAGAGCAAAGCTATGGCTCTTTTCAAAGCTCATTGAGGAGCCTACTGAAATTGTGTACAAAATTGGAATTGTGTACATGTAAATCTTTTGGGGAAAACCTTTATAGCGTTCATTAGTCAAACATCCTAATAAATGCTAAGATCTTCTGGTTAGAGCAGTCCCTCAAAAGTATTCTTTAGGAAGCTCACCGGGATTACCATGGTTGTCTATATGTTTGTGAATTCATTACCATGGTTGTCTATATGTTTGTGAATTCTTAACCAAATTAAATCCTTGAGGACTTCTATTCATCATTTTCAGTGTTTTTAGAGAATGCTAAAACACTCAGGTTCCAAGTATTATTAGTATTTTAAAAAGGAAATCTTAAGTTTAAAGATAACCAGACTTTTCTTATTTTCCCTTAAGTTGTAGTTTCCTATTCCTGGCATGGTTATTTTCTGTAACTCTCCCTTTCCCCCTTAAAAAAAAAAAACAAACTTTCAAATATACAGAAAGGTTAGAAAGTATAATGGGCATTCATACACGCTCCGTGTAAATTTCTTTCTTTTTAAAAAAAATTTTTGTTGGTCGTGGGGCTTGAACTCTGGGCCTGGGCACTGTCCCTCAGTTCTTCAGCTCAAGGTTAGTGCACTATCACTTGAATCACAGTGCCACTTCCAGCTTTTTCTGTTTATGTGGTGCTGAGGAATCGAACACAGGGCCTCATGCATGCTAGGCAAGCACTCTACCACTAGGCACCTTCCCAGTCCTCATGCTCCATGTATACCCAATGATTAATATTGATTAATATTTTGTTACAATTGCTTTCCTTTTTTCTCTATGTAGATATTTTAAAAGTTCTGAAGTATTTGAAAAAAGTTGCATGTGTTTGAGCATTTTATTGCTAAATACTTGTGCATGAATAGAGGAATAAGGACACATTCTCCTAATATCCAGTGCTTTTTATCATATCTAAGAAAATTAATAACAGTTGCATCATCAAATAGCTATTCTATATTTGGGTTTTCTTAATTATTTCAAAATTGTTTTGTAGAATTACCTGCTTCAAATCCAGGATCTAGTTGAAGGTTTTCTTTTTCAATACTGGGGACTGAACCCAAGGCATGCTAGGCAACTACTCTTACTACTGAGCCACACACTATTTAATTCTTAGTTGATGTTTATAAATTACATTTGCTTGACTGTGGATTGTCTTTTAGTCTAGAGCGCAGGCCTTTTTGTGAAGGAGACATCTTTTTTTTTAATTTAATTTTATTTTATTTGTGAACATACTGTACAGAGGGGTTACAATTGCATGGGCAGGATAATGCGTACATTTCTTACCAAGCATTGCAGCCTCCTCCTTTGTTTACCCTTCCCATCCCTTCCCAGCCTCCCCCCTCCCCCCCATCCCAATCCTTCTCCTTCCCCCCTCCCCCCCACCTGTGAAGGAGACATCTTATGAATAGTCCAATAGTCCACATAGTAGGGTTGAAATAAAGCTGTTTTACATTAAGATATTTGATAAATTTGAGTTTATTTTTGTATAAGGTGAGAGATTGGCAATTATTGTCAGTCTTCAATGAGTGCAAATCCAGTTTGTTTCCCCAGTACTGTTTATTGAAGAAGTAGTTTTTTCCAATTGCTTTGGCATCTATTTTGAGAATGAAGTAACTTGAGTTTATTTCTGACTGCTCTCTTCTATTCCATCAGCCTATGTGTCTGATTTGTTTAAGTACCATGCTCTTTTTGTTAACAATGGATCTTAGTATAATTTGAACTCAGGTAGGATACCTCTAGCATTATACTTTTTTGCTTAGAGCTAGGGTTGCTTTTCTGCCCATAGGCTCTTTTTTCTTTAGTGGTATCAGGGTTTGAACTCAAGACCTCAAACTTTGCAGCCAGCATCCTCCCCAGCAAAGACTAATTTTTTAAAATTAGTAAGGTACAACTCTTATATTTTATTGAGCCGAAACAACTTCTTGAATATTTTTTATGTCTCTTAAATCTGTACTGCTCTTATTGCACTCTCCGTTTTCTATCTTGGGTCATATATATTATTCCTATGAGACTGAAAACAACTTGAGATAGGATTTATGTCATCATCAATGTCATCTGTGTGTACTCTCCATTACTGATCATATAGTTGGTGCTTATCTCAACGGCTAATTGTATAATTAAATGTTTGACAGTTAACATACTCTAGTAATGAATCTATTGATCTAATCAGTATAATCAATGGCTACCAATCCTCTTGATATAAATAAATAATGAACTTTTGCAGTAATAGTGTCACCTTCATTAACGATGATCATGATGAATTTTAAGTTTATTGTTTTATATACATTTTAAATACCTTTTCTCAAGTCTTTGTTTTTTTGGATAAATTACTTAGAATATGGTTCTAGAAAAAAGTCTTGCCTCTATTGAAGTAGATATGTTGGCATACCTCCTTTTTTTTGTAGTTGTTGGTTGTAGTGCTTGAACTCAGCCTAGGCATTGTCCCTGAGCCTCTTTGTGCTCAAGGCTAGTGCTCTATAACTTCAGCTGCAGTGCCACTTCCAGTTTTTGTGTGGTTTATTGGAGATAAGAGTCTCATAGAGACTTTTCTGCCTTGGCTGGCTTCAAACCAAGATCCTTGGATCTCAGCCTTCTTAGTAGCTAGTATTACAGGCTGAGCCCTGCCTGGTTCTGGAATTAGTACCTCTTAAGGTGATTAGAAAAATGAAAATGTGTGATAGGAGCATTATTAAAAAAGCTTGTCCTATAAGAGACAACTGTTTTCCTGAGAAACTTGATAATAGCCCAACTTGCTTCACAGTGTCATTCAGTCGTCGTGTGTGTGTGTGTGTGTGTGTGTGTGTGTGTGTCTGTGTCTGTGCGTGTGTGTGCGTGTGCGCACACACGCTGTTTCTGGGGCTTGGACTCAGGTCTCTTTGCTCTTATCCCTTTGCTTTTTCACTAAAGGGTAATGCTCTACCACTTTGAGCCACAGCTCTCCTTCCTGAAGCTATACTCAAAGTTTGAACTCTGACTTCAGGGGAACTTGAAATGAGCTGTAAAGGGAGATGACAGTGATGATGAGGGCAGTACTGCTGTGAAGAACATTCTGGGCTGGTATAGGGAAGCTGGGCTCATCTCTTTGTGGCAGCTCTTTGTTGATTTCAGAACATCCATTCATTGGGACTGTTTCAGCAAGTGTGGAGAACCTGAGTGGTTAACATCTGGAAAGGACTAGCAGTGTTGGGAAAACCAGGATGACTACTTAATTACTCTATTTGCTTTGTTCTTCTTAGTAAACACCTTTTACTCTTTTTTTTTTGTTGTTGTTGTTAACATTTTTTGGGGTCTTCTGTAGAAAGTTATATGTAGAAGTTGAGCACTGCTGATACTTAAATGACGCTTTCTGCATAATGCAGCATATATTGGGATTCACTGGAGGTGTTAAACTCTCTCATCAACAGAGCTCCAAAGAGTACATTTTGGTGAACAGTAGCAGAAACCTGGAAAGAGCTCGTCAAATATTTCCAGACTAGGAAAGATGAAGTATTTAAAATTCTCTTGAGATTATAAACAATATTCTTAGGAATACTTTAGGGACTTTCAGGTTTAGGCTCAACTATAATTAGAGGCTGTAGCATGACTGTATTTCTTTCTAGTCATATGAGAGATGCTAGACTGGCCTACTGTGATATGTTAATCTCTAGGAGTATTATTGACTATAGTATTATCTTTCTACCTTGTTTTGTAGGCTGGTCAAAAGAATGGATTTTACAGAGGCTTACTCAGACACATGCTCTACCGTTGGACTTGCTGCCAGGGAGGGCAATGTTAAAGTCTTAAAGAAACTGCTCAAAAAGGGCCGGTGTGTGGATGTTGCTGATAACAGGGGATGGATGCCAATTCATGAAGCAGCTTATCACAACTCTATAGAATGTTTGCGGATGTTAATTCATGCAGGTAAAGTAAATTCAAGGTATGGGAGGCTGCTCCTATGAGCTGGATTAATTTTTTAAAAGGTGATAATACATGGTAGTATTTGTTTTCCTTTCTGTAATCCTAAAATAACAGCCTTATCTGTTTAGGATAGTAAGATTGCTGCCTTGGATTATGTCAGCATGGTGTTCCATCTGGACATCTATAAATATTGTCTTTTGTGTGGAAGTGCTTGCCTGGCTTATTTTTATTGACTGTGCTAGGTGAGGTGGCAGAAGTAGTCTTCTGTTTTAAGCTTGGTAGTTACTGATCTTATTTGTTCTTTTTATAAACAAAAGGAACAGTGCTACTGAAATTGAGATTGAGTATTTTGTTTGGATTAGTCTTCTTCTTTTGAGCACTTTTCAGTTTCCTTAATTTGGGGTGACTTTCAATTCCTTGGACTTTGTAGAAGATAACGATAGAGCAAAAGCTAACGTGCCTACTTTCATAGTGCTTGTATTCCTGCCAGAGGAGAAAGAGATTACATACCTACAATGAGACAAGATTATATTTCAGAATGTAAAAGCATTGTGAAGAAAATAAAATAGTAGTGAATAGAGAGTAATGGTGTGATATTACACATATCATTAAGACTCTGCATTCAGTAACTTCAAGCTTATAGCTTTGGATCATCCATGATGAGATTTGTGATATTGACACCAGAGAAATCAGCCAGTGCTAACGACTGGCTGCTTGCCACAGGGTGAACCAGTTAAATATTGATCAGCACACCACTAAGTAAAGGGACTTTAGGAGAGGAAGACCATAGGAGGAATACTAATGGAGATTAACACATGAAACAGATGCTTAATTTCCATTATTTATTTAGTATATGCATAATCGCTGTTAGAGGCATTTACACGTATTCTTATTTTATTGATGAGAAGACCAAAGTTCAGAGAAGTTTACTTATTAAATGTTATCTAATAAACTAGAATATTTGGTTTGAACCTATTTCTCTCTGGGTGTATTGTATTGTGTTTCATTACTTTTATTTATTTATTTGGGTCAGTCCTGGGCTTGAACTCAGAGCTTGGGCTCTGTCCCTAAACTTTTTTGCTCAGGTTTAGCACTCCATCACTTCTGGCTCTTTTTTTTTTTAAATTTTATTTTATTTGTGAACATACTGTACAGAGGGGTTACAATTACATGGGCAGGATAATGTGTACATTTCTTACCAAGCATTGCAGCCTCCTCCTTTGTTTACCCTTCACATCCCTTCCCAGGCCCCCCTCCCCCCCCACCGACGTTGTAAAGCTCATTTTTGACATGACAGCTTGTACTTCTCATTGTTGCAACAGGTCCAACTGTATCATTAAACGACTTGTTTTTCCACTTCTGGCTCTTAAGTTAGTTAACTGGAGATAATCATTAATCATTTCATGGACTTTACAGCCTGAGCTGGCTTGAAAATGAGATCCTCAGGGCTGGGAATGTGGCTCAGTGGTAGAGTGCATGCATGAGGCCCTGGGTTTGATTCCTCAGCACCATATAAGTAGAAAAAGGCAGAAGTGATGCTGTGGCTCAACTTGTAGAGAGAGCACTAGTCTTGAGATGAGAGACAGCGCCCAGGTCTAGAGTACAGGCCCCACAACTGACCCCTCCCCACAAAAAAATTTTAAAAATGAGATCCTCAAATTCAGCCTCCTGAGTAGCTAGGATTACAGGCATGAGTCACCACGTCCTGGCTTCATTTTATTTTATTTATAATTAGGCTATACTTCTGAAATGGCGTGAAAAGTTTTATTTCTTTCCTTTATTTTGGAAGTATGGTTTGAATTTAGGGCTTCAGGCTTGCTGAAGCAGGTGTTCTACTTCTGAGCCACATCCACAACTCTTTTTCTTTACTTTTCAGATAGGGTGTTGTGCTGTTGCCCAGACTAGTCTTGGATCAAGATTCTCTAACTACTTTTTTCAGAGTGGCTTGTGGGTGCCACAATGCCTGCCTTGTTTTTATTTTATTTTATTTTTTCCTTGTTTTTATTTTTATTTTTATATTTTTATTTTTTGGTTGGTTGTGAGGCCTGAACTTTGTGCCTGGGTGCTGTACCTTAGCTCTTCAGCTCAAGGCTAGTGCTCTACCACTTGAGCCACAGTGCCACTTTGGGCTTTTTTTGCTTATGTGTGCTGAAGAATCTAACTCAAGGCCTCATGCATGCATGCATTCTACCACCAAGCTACCTTTCCAGTCCCCCTGCCTTGTTTTTAGAGATAGGGTCTCAATTTTTTTGCTGGGCTTGGCCTTCAATTACAATCCTCCTTTTTTTTTTCTCTGCCTCCTAAATAGCAATGATTAAAACCATACTTGGTTTTGTCTGACTCTGTAATTTAAATCAGGATCTATTCTGAAAACAGCACATGGTCTTCTTACTTAAATTAGAGAAGGAAATTAAAGTTTGATATGGATTACTTAGAGATTCAATATGCACATGTTTCTTTCTTTTTCCACTTTAGCATATAGTGCATTTGCTTCTCTTTCTAGTATTAGAAATTTGGTATAATAGATATTGAGATAGCTCCTCAGGCTTGTCTTTAGCGGCAGTTAACCATGCCGTTCAATATTAAACCTCTTGTTATGAAGGTCACTTCGTATCTTAAAATGAATTAGAATATATACCTAAATAAATACTTTTATTTGGCAAATAAGTGGTCTAGCTTGTAGTAATTTTTATTAGTTCATATTAAACAACACTATATTGTTAGACCAGTACAATTAATTATAGGTGTTGACAATCCTTAACTAAATAAGGCAATATAGGATAGTGATTGAGTATGGTCAGATGAACCTGAGTCCTGTCTAATGACTGCCACTTTTTGGTGTGACTTTGAGCATTTTTTTTTTTTCTCAAGGCTAGTGCTCTACCATTACAGCTCCACTTCTGGCCTTTTCTATCTTTCTTTCTTTCTCTCTTTCTTTCATCAGTTGTGGAGCTTGAACTATGGGCTTGGGCGCTGTCCCTCAGCTCTTCAGCTCAAGACGAGCACTCTACCACTTGAGCCACAGCGCCACTTCTGGGTTTTGAGTGGTTTATTGGAGATAAGAGTCTCACGGACTTTCCTTGCCGAGGCTGGCTTTGAACTGTGATCCTCAGATCTCAGCCTCTTCAGTAGCTAGGATTACAGGCATGAGCCACTGGGCACACAGCTTTGGCCTTTTCTTTGGTAGTTAATTGGAGATAAGTGTCTTATGGACTTTCCTGCCTGGGCTGGCTTTGAACCTTCAACCTCAGTCATCAGTTATTAGCCTCTTGAGTTACTAGGATTACATGTTAAGGTCTCCTGGCAGTGGTTGCCGTTCATCTGAAGGATAGAAATACTCTATTGTTCTTGCTCAGACAGAAACTCTAGGCCATCCTTAATTCCTTCCTTTTTTTCATATCCCTCATCCAATCAAAAAAAAACTTAGGTTTACATGTATTATATGTATCTCTGAGCCATGTATCCACATACATACTGTATAATCAGACTACTTTTTACTGCTTTTAATATCGTTGAGCTATATCATTTCTTGACTGGATTGCTATAGTAGTATTTTAATAGATACATTTTCTGCTTTTGTTTTCTATCCATAACTCATTATGATATCAGAAATTTGTTTATTTATTTAATTTTATTATTAAGTAGTTATACAAAGAGGTTACAATTCCATAAGTCAGGTTATGAATACAGTACATTTTGGTAAATGTCACTCCTTTCATCATTCTCCCTATTTTTTCCTTCTTCTGTCCCTGCAATTTATTTCATAATACAGAAATTTATTTTTTTGTGCTGCTGGATATTGAGCCCAAGGCCTCAATGTGTGCTAGGCAAGCACTTCACCTCTGATATATAGACCTAGCCCTGATGATCTGTTTGAAAAATATCAGACTATCTGTTCAAAACTTTGCAGTAGCTCCTCATTTTCTTGTGAGTAAAACACAGCTCTTCAGCTCTTCAGCTCAAGGTGAGTGCTCTACCACTTGAGCCATAGTGGCACCTCCAGTTTTCTGGTGGTTTACTGGAGATCAGAGTCTCATGGACTTTCTTGCCCGGGCTGGCTTTGAACCGTGATCCTCAGATCTCAACCTTCTGAGTAGCTAGGATTATATTGCATAATATTTTTTTTTTTTTTTGGTTGGTCGTGGGGCCTGAACTCTGGGCCTGGGCGCTGTCCCTCAGCTCTTCAGCTCAAGGCTAGCGCTCTACCACTTGAGCTACAGCACCACTTCCGGCTTTTTTCTTATGTGGTGCTGAGGAATCGAACCCAGGGCCTCAGGCATGCAAGGCAAGTGCTCTACCACTGAGCCAACTTCCCAGCCCCTATTGCATGATATTTTATAGTCTGTATTTAAAGTAATTTAATTACTTACCTGTAGATGGACAGGTAACTTTTGCTATTAAAGTGAACATGGATCTTTGTGTACAGGTATGAACATTTCAGTCGGATAATTTTAGCAGTGAAATTGCTGGTTCACTAAGTATGCTATGTTAACATGAAGGCTTTCTAGAGAAACAGAACCAATAGGGCACGCGCGCGCGCGCGCGCGCGCACACACACACACACACACACACACACACACACACACACACACACACACGAGAAACAGAACCAATAGGACACTCACACACAAAGGAAATTTCCTAAGGGAAAGGTAGGATTTCTTTTTGGAAATTTCAGATTTGACTTTTTTAAAGAACTCTTGGGCTAGACATAGTAGTTCATACCAGTAATCCCTGCTACCTAGGAGACAGAGACAGGGGGATTTCTGTTCAAGACCAGCCTGGGAAAAAGTTAGCAAGATCCTAGCTCAAGTCAACTAGCTATAAAGAAAAATGAAATATTGTAATTTTCAGACAATTTGATAAAATTGGATATCATATTAAGGCACGCTCAAAAAGCCAAATATGTTTTTACTCATATGGAAGCTAGATTGAAGACGAACATTTGTGTACATATACATATGTACACACACACACATGCATGATTTTAACTAGGATTATGTAGGAGGATGATGAGTAGGGAAGAGATAAGAAGAAAAATGAAGGGTTAATACTTTAAAAATTCAGTGCAACTATGTCTAAAGTTGGTGTAAGGAATCTCAGTGAAAACTATTGGTTAATAGGGAATTGGGGGAGCAGGGAAAGAGAAAATAGTAGAGGGTTCTTCTAAGCCACATTACATGCTCGTCTGAAATATCATAGTGAAATCCCTTGGTACAAATAATAAACACCAAAAGAAAAAAAATGAATAACAGGAAAGTAAAACAGACTGTTGGAGGGTGTGGGTACCAATGCTAGGGGATTGGAGAGACTAACAAAGAGGTTGAATGAGGATAAATATATGGTGGAAGCAATATATTTGGACCTGTTGCAGTTTTTTTTTTTCAATTGTAAAGGTGATGTACAAAAGGGTTACAGTTACATAAGTCAGGTAATGAGTACATTTCTTTTTGAATAGTGTCAACCCTCCCTCATTTTCTCCCAGTTTTTTCCCTCCTAACCCCACCACCCCCTCAAGTTGTATAGTTCATTTCCAACATAGTGTCTAGTGAGTATCACTTTGGAATTAGTTCACCCTCTGTCCCACAGTTACTATGTTTCCCCTTACTCTCCCCAAATCAGACAAAATAACATACAAGACAAAGGCTTCAGAAATAAAAAACAGCAACAAAATGGAAAAAAAAAACAGAAGGAAAAAAAGAAAGTACAATAAAAAATTATTTCCATGTTTTAGAGTTCATTTTGATAAGCATCATTTTATATGATCATATGCACATAACTATTGAGCCCTTGTGGTCTCTCTAAAGAATACTCCCTTTGGTCTCACTGTTTAGAGTCTCTATGTTTAGACTCCTGGTTAATTAATCATGTCCAAGTGTAATTTCTTTTCTTTTCCTATACATTTGTTTTATTGTAGATTAATGGGCACATTCTAATTATTACAGATGAGGGAAACCATGCAACCTATGTTTCTTTGGGTCTGCCTTACTTCGCTTAGAATAATTTTTCCAGGTCTTTTCATTTCCTTATGAATGGTGCAATGTCATTCTTTCTGATGGAAGCACAAGAATTCCATTGTATATATACACATTTTCTTGATCCATTTGCCAACTGAGGGGGCATCTGGGTTGATTCCTATCTTGGCTGTGGTAAACGATACTGTAACGAACACGGTTTTGCTGGTGACTTTAGTGTGGCCTGTTTTGTGGTCATTCGGATAAATGCCCAGGGGTGGGATCTGATGCCTAATGAACATGGTTGTGCTGGTGGCTTTAGTGTGGCCTGATTTGTGGTTATTTGAATAAATGCCCAGGAGTGGGATCTGTTGCAATTGTTTTTAAGAAAGGGGATTGGGATGATGAGAGTGATAAAAAAGGGTGAAGTTGATTTGAATACATTGTATACATGTGTGGAAATGTTAAAACTAGACCCTCTTTGTTTAGTTAGTATGTACTACTGAAAAAAACCAATCAGTTGTCAACAGTGGCTCACACCTGTAATATCAGCTATACAGAAGCCTGAGATGTGAGGATCACAATTTGAAGCCAGCTTGGGGCAGAAAAGTTGATGAAGCTATCTTCAGTTAACCAGCAAGAAAGCTGGACTGTAGCTGTAACTAAAGTGATAGTATACTAGCAATAAGCAGAAAAGCCAAATGAGAGCGTGAGGCCTTGAGTTTAAGCTTCAGTACTGGCACAAAACAGGCCAAAACAAGACAGAACTGGTGACACATGCCTTTGCCTCAGCTACTCTGGTGTTTGAGGTAGGAGGATTGTGTTCCAGGGCAGTTAGTACAGATCCCTATTTGGGGGGCGGGGGGGAGGAAAGGATTGGAGTTGGTTGCTCAAGTGATAGAGCACTTACCTACTAAGCATGAAATCTTCAGTTTTATGTTGTTTAGAGGTTAGCAAAAAAAAAATCCAAAAGTAACAATCTGTTGTCTATTTCTACACACACACACACACACACACACTCACTCACTCACTCACTCACTCACTCACTCACTCACCCAAAACCCAAAGAGCAAGCAAAAAGCCTAAGTATTCTGCTATTTGCTATTACACAGGTTTCAGACATTTTCTACATACTTTCTCTTAGTCTTTTACTTTTCTTACAGTGTCAGTTTATATTTGTTATGTCTTCAAACATTCTCCACTGACTCCTTCTCTGCATCTTTATTCATGGTGGTCTCTTTCCAAGGTTTTAGAATTTTTTGCACATGATAAAATTCCTTGTGTTGTAAAAATTATTTTATATATAGCTTTCTCCTAGAATTCCTAAGTAAAATATGGTAAAATGATATAAATTGTGTAAAGGGCTTAACTGTATACCTGAAAAAGATGTTTATCACTTTTGTGATCATCATGTATAAAATGCATATGGCCTCATTTAAATTCTGACTCAACTACTGAGATATATGGATCTCAATTTTAATTTTTTTGCCAAAAAAAAGCCACATGTTTTTTTGTTTTCCTTTTTAGAGGTTAGCAAAAAGAAACAAAAAACCCAGAAGACTGAAAGTCGGCTGCCTGTCTCTACCACTTTTACAAGTAATAACTAGGTACTTTATTATTCATAAATGAAAGGGTGCCCTGCGTCAGCAAACAGGGTGTGGTGTCACTGGCAGAGTGTTAGGTCTGCTCTTGTCACTGCTACACAGATGGCCTCAGCCCTAAAGTGTAAACAAGAAGAAATTCAAAAGTTGTGATAAATGACCCAATTTGCTGCTACCATTTAAAAGTTTGTGTAAGATTGAAGATAAAATAGAGGTTATAGCATTAAACATTAAAAGTGAGTATGATAGTTTTTTCAAGGAGTCCTCTTGCCACAAAAAAGGAAGAAAGTCAGTAGTTGGCAGTCTAGGAAAAGGTGGACACAGTCCCTTTGGTGAAACTTACATATCATTTTAAAGAAGACAGTTTATCATTGGAACTTGAGTACTAAAAACCATAAAATGATACTTTGGAGACCCTACTAAATTTGTAACAACTGTTACAGCACATAAATATCATAATGGTTACATTTCTACTATATTTTATTCGTGTTTTACAAAAATTAAAACTACTCCTGAGTCTGCTGAGCCCCACTGAGAGTTAGACCAGCAGTCTTATTTTTGCTGCATAACTGGAACCTGAGGGAATTTAAGTAATTTGCCCAAATTTTAATCCAGATTATAAATGAAGATGCCAGCAGTGCAGCCTAAGTCTTCAAACTGCAAGTGTTACCTTCCAGGTCCAATGGTGTTAAAGTTAGCTAAATATATAATTTTTTTTGTAACTGATACACTTATTTCTCATCTTTAGAAATGCCTTTCATTTTTTTTCTTCATAGGTAGTTATGCCAGAGGTTGTGTTTCTTTTTCTCAGAGTTGCTTATACTTTTTAGAGGTAGGAGAAAGTTCTTTTCCTTGAGAGTGGAAGCCTCTATATAACTTTTTGGATTTTTTTTTCTTTCTCAGCTGGGTATTGAACCCAGGTTCTCATGTATATTAAACTGAGCTTCACCCCCAGCCCTGGAATTCTCTGGTTTGGGAGATTTATTTCTTCTCTTTCACTTATTTATTTATTTACATCTGCATGAACTCATGTAGATGTTTATACTCATGGATGTTTATATTCTGGGATATAGTCTAATAAGATGTTATTTATTTTGTGTCCGAACAGTTTTGGTTATTAGCTACCCTTTCAGATTGGCTTCTATGTCTTTTTGACATGGGGCATTTTGAAATTGTAATAATTTATAAATTTTTTAATTAAATTTTTTTTCTTGAGCGTTATTTTTTTTTCTGAACCTTCACTTTGTTGTAGTCTTATTTTGCATATTCTCTCTCCTAATCCTAGAATCAGACATTCTCACACCTCCACTTCCAGCTTTTTAGTGGCTAATTGGAGATAGAGTCCCAGAGACTTTGCTGCTTGAGCTGGCTTTGAGTTGTGATCCTCAGCGCTCAGTCTTCTGAGTAGCTAAAATTACATTTTAATATTTCATTAAATTTCTCATATTTTTTTTGCTTGCTAAACCCAAGAAATGCAAGTACTAATCTTCTAGTTGATAGATTTTTATTCTTCCACAGAGTCATCTGAAACCTACATTCAGACAAAGACTTTCGAAGGCTTCTGCGCATTACATCTCGCTGCAAGTCAAGGACATTGGAAGATTGTACAGATTCTTTTAGAAGCTGGGGCAGATCCTAATGCAACTACTTTAGAAGAAACCACGCCGTTGTTTTTAGGTGATGTATACTATTTGTGGTACAGATACAATTTTTAAAATTAATTTTTTTTTGTTAACATAACATGTTAACATAACATAACATGTCCTTTTGGTAAATATTACACCACCACTTCTTGTGGTTTTGAAACTGGAAATGTATTTTTAAAGTTTCCCTCTTGTTTTCTATTTTTGGGTTGTGGTAGCACCTGGACTCTATGTTTATTAAAAGTTGAAAGAAATCTGCTCTCAATTGTCAATGTTGTAGATTTTCTTTGTGTAGTTCTGAAAACCAGGTAGTGCTTAAATTGTAGCAATAGTTACAAGGTTACCGAAAGATGTTTTATATTTGCTTTTTCTTAGCATTAAGAAGCTTTTTTAAATTAAGAAGCTTTTATAGAAGAAATCACCAGCTAATCCTTTAATGCTAGTTAATTTGTGGCCTGTATATCTGTTCAGACCTATTCAATTATAGCCTTTAAATTCTTTAAAGATGACAGCCAAATTCTAAGTGGTACACTTTCAGACCTCCCTTCCTCTCTCCCTCCCTCCCTCTCTCCCTTCTTTCTACTCTCCTAAACATTCCCCCTCCTCCATCTCTTTCTACTGAGAATTGAACCCAGTATTCTCGTTCATGCTAAGCATGTCATTAACTATTTGAGCCATATCCTCAGGTCTAGAATTTTATATTGTAACAAGGACTCTGCTTTCTTCTTTTTTCTGTTTTTCATACAGGGTATTGCTGCATATCCAGGCTGGTCTTGCACTGAATATCCTTCTGCCTCAGGCTCCTGAGTGCTGGGATTACAGATGTGTTACATCACACTCAACCTCCCTTCTTTCCTCTCCCTTGCTTCCTCTGTTCAGTTCTTATCCTTTTCCCCTGCTACATACACATACACTTACATGTACACTTACAAATACACGTATACACACACACACACACACACACACAGTAAATATTCTAAGGATAGGGTTTTTTTTATAATGGGGTGGTGGAGGAAAGAAAGATCCTGTGCTTGAGACTGTTGGTGCTGCTGTTGCTGCTGCTTTCTTCCGTTCTCTTCCCTTCCTTTCCCTTCTCTTCCCTTTTCTTCCCCTCCCTCCCTCCTTCCCTCCCTCCCTCCCTCCCTCCCTTCCTTCCTTCCTTCCTTCCTTCCTCTGCTTCTTCTTCTTTTGCAATAGGGATATTTTCTATTATAGGTTAACCTGACAGTCTTTAAAAATGTAAAGATACTGTTAGTGGATGAATGTATATGAAGCATCATTCACTATTTACAAAGGAAGGAAATAGTGTTATCTGACTACAAGGATAAGTCTTTCCTTTTTTTTTTTTTTGGGTCCGGTCGTGGGGCCTGAACTCTGGGCCTGGGCGCTGTCCCTCAGCTCTTCAGCTGAAGGCCAGCACTGTACCACTTGAGCCACAGCACCACTTCCGGCTTTTTTCTTTTTGTTTATGTGGTGCTGAGGAATCGAACCCAGGGCCTCATGCATGATTGCAAGGCAAGCACTCTACCACTGAGCCACCTTCCCAGCCCCAGTCTTTCCTTGTTTTTGATGATGTATATATGAAATTTTATTTATCTCATTGCTTATTGGTCTTGAATATTACATGCATCATGTAATCAGCATATTAGTAAAATGAATAGCTGTTTCTGAATATTATTTAAAGGCAAAGTTTTTCTATTTCTCATTGCATGTAATTTATATAAATCTTTATATTTAAAGGTATATTATTTTGTGCAAATGTCTGGTTTGTTTTTGTTTTTGTTTTTTGCCAGTCCTGGGGCTTGAACTCAGGGCATGGGCACTGTCCCTGAGCTTCTTTTGCTCAAGGTTAGAACTCTACCGGTTGAGACACTCTACTGCTTCTGGCTTTTTCTGTTTATGTGGTACTGAGGAATTAAACCCAGAGCTTCATGCATGCTAGGCAAGCACTCTACCACTAAGCCACATTCCCAGCCCCATTAAGCCACGTTTTCAGCCTCTTGAATTCTTTTAAGATCAGAGATTAATATCTTTTATTTATTCAATAAGTGTGACATGCAGCTAATATGTTAAAAGCCATATATCATATCATAATTAGTGGAAGCTTTAATCAATTAAAACAATAACTCAAAACAGAATGTAAACGTTGCTGGATCTTATTTTGATCAAATCTGTTGTTCTTTTGATTGGGGAATTGGGTCCATTAATGTTTAGAGTAATTATAGAAGGATGTGTCATGTTTCCTGCCATTTTCTTGATTTCCTATATTTTGTTTCTTTCCTATTCTTGTGTTTACTAAATTGATATTCTAGTGATTTTTGTCTGTATTTCTTTGATTTTGATTGTTTTCTTCAGATTGTATTTCTCCCTTTAGAATTCATTGTAATACTGGTTTAGTGATCATGAATTCCTTTAATTTTTGTTTCTCATGCAAAGTTTTGATTTCACCATCTAATGTAAATAATAGTTTTACTGGGTAGATCAGTTTGGGTTGGCAGTTGTTGATCTTCAGTGCTTGGATTATAACATTCCAGGCTCTCCTTGCAGAGAGGTCTGTATTGATTCTGATTTTCTTCCTACTGTAATGTAGCTCCTTCTTTAATTTTGTGGCATTTAAACTCAGTTCCTTGCTATTCGCGTCTAATGGCATCAATGAGGGGGAGGGCTTTGATAGTAAAGGCATTAAAACCAGTAAAATAATAGCTGAGAACTAACTTCCCTATTCTTAAGAGAGAAAAATCTCACCTGCCTAACAGAAGCATATAAAACTCCCAGTAGACTGGATCTAGGAAGAAACACTTCTAGATACATTTTAGTAAAAACATCAAGATAGGTTTTTTAAAAGTCTTTAAAAATAAAGGTATCTTTTAAATAAATATACCTAATTCTAAATGAAAACTCTGATAGTTATTTAGAATATAGCTTTTACCTTATTTTGTTGTATGTTTAAAACATTGATAAATTGGAGTTGGAAATCCAACCCAGTGTGACTTCTTAGTCATTTTCTATGGGAACTGCACCACATGCACTTTTGGCTTTTGATGGATTGCTTTTTATTTTTTGTGCTTCTGAACTTCTGCGTATTTTGTATAACCTTCAGTGTTAAACATAGCAGCAATGTTTACTAAGAACAAATTGTTTTATAAACAGTGCTATGTGAGACTGCTTGTTTCAATATTTAATTGTGAAATGTGTCATACTCTGCTTCACATGGCACATCCTTTAACTCTGCTCATATATTCCAGAATTGAACACTATTGTCCTCTTGGGTGATCATTCAAAAATATATTTTGAGATACCTAGTTTTGAGATTTAGATTCATATACTATATGTTGATCTTTATTTTTGTAATGATTGTTAGATTTTCACTTGAACAATTACTTTCCTCTGGGACTGTAATATATGCATTTTCCTTGAGGACGTGTTATGAAAAATACACATTTGAGGGCGGGTGCTGTTGGCTCATACCTAGCTACTCAGGAGGCTGAGATTTGAGGATCGAAGTTTGAAGCCTGCCTGGGCAAGAAAGTCCATGAGACTCTTATCTCCAGTTGACCACCAGAAAACTGTCAGTGGCCCTGTGGCTTAAAGTAGTAGAGCACTAGCTTTGAGCAAAAGTCTAGGGACTGTGCCCAGGTCCTGAGTTTAAGCCCACACTGAAAAAAAAATGCAGTTTGAGTTTTCCCAATCAGAAGTGTGGAGTTTACTAAAAATTATACTTAAAAGTATTAATTGTGGGGGCTGGGAAGGTGGCTCAGTGGGAGAGTGCTTGCCTTGCATGCATGGGGCCCTGGGTTCGATTACTCAGCACCACATAAACAAAAAGAAAAAAGCTGAAAGTGGCGTTGTGGCTCAAGGGCTTGCCTTGAGCTGAAGAGCTGAGGGACAGCACCCAGGCCCAGAGTTCAGGCCCCACGACCGGACCCCCCACCCCCCAAAAAAAGTATTAATTGTGTTCAAGTATTTGCTCTTATCTATGTTTATAAAGTTTTATATTTCTTGATACAACTTTCTTTTTTGTTTTATTCATATAATTAAATATGTTTATATGATCTGTCATTTTATTTTGTTATCTTAACTGACAAATTTATATTTCCAGTGTTTAAACATAAGGAAATGTAAACCCCTTTTTTCATTTTGGTGGTACTGAGGACTAAACTCAGGGACTCATACTTGCTAGGCAGGAGCTCTGTCCCTTGAGCCACACCTTCAGCTCCTTTGTGTATTGGTTGTTTTCACTTACACCCAGGCTGGCCTGGATGACAGGCACCTACCACTGTACCCTATTAGTTGAGAAGGAGTCTGTGAATTTCTTTTTGCTTAGGCAAAAAAAGTGTCAGGCACTGTAATACTTAATCTCTACCTCAAAAGTAAGCTAGGATTATAGGCTTGAGCTAATACACCTGTCCATTTTCCTTAAATTATTATGTAACCTTTTGTTCCTTTCCCAACTTTTGTCATCATATTTGAATTGCCAGTGGAAATAATATTTTGCCTCTTGATTTGTATTGTAAATTCATTTTATTCTTACTTCTGTGATTAAATTGTTTAGAAATTTATCGCCAGGTATTTATTTTGCCATAAGTTCTTCAGTTTGGTTGTAAAACTTCTCTTAGCAGAATCCCCTGAAAGGACTTAAGAAAATACTGTTCCTTGAATTCTTACATGCTTATTATTGAGGTATGATTTTTGTATTTGAACAATAGTTAGATTAGATTCAAAGCTCTTGAGTCATATTTTCCTTCTTAAATGGTGGTCTGTTTTGTTTTAGAATTAAATCTGAGGCCACCCTAAATTCCGATCTCTTTCTCTCCCTCTCTTTTTCCTCCTCTCTCTCTCCCCTCTCTACCTTCCCCCTTCTTTTTCTCTCCTCTTCTCCCCTTTCCCCTTTCCTTTCTCACAGCTTCCCCCTACCACTCTCTCAAGTATTTTACATGTCAGATTTTTCTGTGGGTATTCCATTAACATGTAGATCTACACTTTAAAATGTCAGCATATTTTTGGAATTATTATTATAAATTATTAAATTATATT